TTCCGTCTAAGACTAGTTTTTTTTTTATAAAGATTGATTATTCAAGATTTTTTCCTAATTCTTTTAGATTTTCCCTTACTTTTAGGAATTTATAAGATATAATTTTAGTAATTGATGTGATAAAATATTTTTTGTAGAAGGCTTTTTTTCCTTTTCCCATATAATCGTCATCTCCGTGTTATTTGGACTCTTTGACATGTTTGGGGCATCGCCCAGGGGCGCTGGCACGCTTGCCCATCAGGGCCTCACATCCACTAGTATGTGCAGCGATGTCAAAAAAGCTCGAGAGCTCGAGGCCGGACAGGCTCATGGCTCAGTGGCATCGAGCCGAGGCTCGGGCTGACCCCCATTTTGGGGAGTCGACCCGAGCCCAACCTAGCCGGGCTCGTCACCGGCCCGTGATCGAGTTTTTTTTTTAGTTTAGATTTATTATATATATATATAGTTATTATTTCTAATACGTATAGATTGCACAAATTTTAAATACAATATAAAAAATTATAGATTTATAACGAATTAAAAAAAAAAAAAAATCGGGTTCGACTTGGCCATCTAAGGCTCGTGCCGAGCCTCATTTTTTTGGTCGAGCTTTTACTTGACTCGGACCCAAAAAAATTGGGACTTGTTTTGCTCGAGCCAGGGCTGAGTTTTGAGTTTCGGCTCGACTCGACTCATTGACATGGCTAAGTATGTGAAGAGGGGTTTAGACTTTAGCGTGGGACTTGACGCCGCTATCTATCACTATGCGGATTATAAGGAATGACGTGATGTTTTCCACCCAGATGCCCTCCTTTAGGAAATGTGCCTTGGTTTATGTCCCTATTTGGTGTAGCTAAAAAATAAGATTTCAAGGACGACGTGACTTTTGCTTTTATTTCTTGTAGAATAATTTCATAAAAAAAATTATCTTAATTTCAGTTTGAAAATTAATTTCTAAAAGAATCTTTATTCCTAAAGTGCTTTTAGGAAAAATCACATTTGTCAACTTCCTCAAGGTTTTAACTAGAAAAAATACTTTCATAAAATTAGTCAAATGGTCTAAAAGCAGTTTTTTGGTTTTAAAACCCCTTTTAACTTATCAAAAGCCATGTTAAATGAGTCCTAAATAGATTTTAATAATAAAAGTGAATAAAAAAATGCTAAATATATTCACACCACAATTTTTAATAACCATACTACATTTTAATTGCATAATATGTTCATAATCTTTATACGTTATCACATTTATGTCTCCAAACTTTTTTATTGCATGCATACTCTCAAATGAGCATAAATTTTTCATGAGAATAATGTTAATTGTTCATGATTATGGTTTCTTTCCATGTAAAAAGACTCATTTATATATAAAAATACTATTAAATATTTGATCCTTATTTTAAATAACATTAACAATATTTTTTGACGAAAATAATGATTAATGACAAGATTTTCTAATGGAATGTTAAAAATAAAAATGTGATTAAAAAAAAGCTAAAAATATAAGTGTGATAATGGATAAAGTTTAGCCCTGATTTGGGGGATTAAAATCTATTTTTTAATTTAAATCAAATTCAAGAATTAATTTAAATCACATTATTTATGAGTCTTATAATTTTTTAACTACATATTTTATCAATTTTTTTAATCAAAATTTATTAAAAATATGATTTTAATTCCAACCAACCAAGCAAAGTTTAATGTCTAATTAAAATGTTGTATATTTATAAAAATTGTGGCGTGAACGATCCCAAAAAAAAAGAAAAAAAAAAAAACAGATATTAGAGTTTTCGTTTTGTCATTTTTACCCCCGCCCAATTCCCTGAATGACCTCCTCCACAGTCGTCGCAATCTCCTCTCTTCGAAGCGAAAGAGCCGACAGAGACAACTGCAGAGGAACTTCGTTTCCCTCACTGTAGACGGTTATACACAGTTCACACAAATTTACCGATTCGATGAAAGTGTGAAAAGTTGTTGTAGAAAGGAAGTAATTCGTTAAAAATGATGACTCGATCTTCTTCTGGAGCAATAATCAATATCGAAGCGAGTACCAAAAAACTCGAAGTCGATAATCGAATCTCGCTCCGGTTTTACTACCGAATTGCCGATAATATTCTCAAGCAGGTACTTTCAATTCACGTGATCAATGTTTGTTTATATGTTATTTGTACAAACAAGGAAGATTTTTTATTTATTTATCTTTTTGAATTTCTCGTGGATGATAGTTTTTATTGTTTATTAGTGAATCTTTTTTAAAAATTACAATGTCGTTTTCGTATGGCAGATGAAATTGATACTGTTACTTGTTGCTTTTTGTAATGTGTCCGTTTGTAATAAGTTAGGGCTTTCTCGTGGAATGGCTTCATGATTGGAACATCAACAATATGTTTTTTTTTTTAATTACTTATTATAGCGATGGAGCTCTCGTGCGCTGCTTAAGGTGGCTGTTGTTCTGGTGTTCGATTTTCTTGAAATAAGTGAAAAAAGTGTGTGTGGGAAATCTTGTCGTATTTTTTACATGTTTTCTGCTAGTATCCTTTATGTAAACATTAGTCACTTGTACGAGGAAGAATAAGGGATGTTAGACATGTGGCAAAAACTAGAACAAACATGAAGAAAACAACTTTGCTCGACTTAATTTATTGCATGATGCTAATACCTCAAGGTTCAGTTGTTGAGACAAAAAGTGCTATTATAGTTCTCGTCTTGATGTTTATTTTTCCTGAAGTTGACATCTGGGTCTCCCCAATTATATTATTTTACCTTCTATCAGTAACTTTAATCTATAATTTTTCTCCTTCAAAATTGGATAATCTTAAACTGTGTGGGGTTCAGAGTTTAGTAGCATGGTCCTTTAACTGAGCGCCTTGCCTCCACTTTCGTTTCATTTTACGTTTAATTCTATAATTTTTATTCCAATCAAGTATCACATATTTTGGATAACATTCAATCGTTTGGTTTAAAAGGAGGTTAGCTAAGTACTAATTCCTTTATAAATGCATAATTACCCTGTTTACACAAGTAACTAATTTACACCAAATCATATTATTCCTTGTTGAGAAAGACATGATAGTGGTGCCGTCATCCCCACAAATTTTATTTTCAAAGTTGACACTTGCATTACATAGTTGTAATCAGTTATATCAACGTCGTTATCTCAGGAACTTGCGTTTTTATCTGTGTACACATACTTCTCAACTATTTTGGACCGGGTGATTTTTAGTTACCTTTTCCTCTCAATTTACGGTTAATAGTAGTGTGATCACTTTTCTAACCAAGACATCTACTGGCATTTTTAGAATGCGTTTATACAATCATTATCTATTTACCTGAAGCAAATATACATGTATGGGCGTTTCTTTTTTTGTCCACTTGTAAATTCAAAGACATTTAATGCCTCATCTTAGCTATGCTCAATTAATCTATATATTTTTATGAGGATTGAAGATCTTTTTTAGCCAATTTACATGTAGTGCTTATATATATATTTTTTTCTTCTCTATCATTCATCCCAACCAGAAGTCCAGCTATTAATCCATTTTGTCACTTATTTGGACTGTAAATGTTGTGGCTTATAAGCTAAACAATCTCGAAAAATAGTGGGAAACCCCTGTGGAAATGGCTTTTGGTGGGTTGTTGATGATTTGAGTAGAAAAAAAGAATATAATAGAATTGACTTTTTTACATATTGGGGTTATTTTAGGCACTTTTTGGGATGAATCAAACATTTACTTTTCATTAACTTAGTGAAGTATCACTTTATCTGTAATATAGCTCATTTTAAAGTTGATCATTTCTAATTTTTAGTTGGATTTAAACCAACCACATGAATCTACATTTGGCAAAAAAAATTATTACCTGTAAGTTATCACCCGTGGGATATGAAACAGTGACCTATTAGATATTGCTCACATGGGTTCAATAGTTAGCTGGACACAAAGGGTTCAATTGGTTAATTTGGTGAATCTTGCTTGCTGGTCATCCACTGTGGCTTTGGGGCATGGCTGTTGTAAGATCGCATGTATGAAAATATTACCTAAATGAATTATTTTTATTAACTTTTTGTCAGAACTTCTCTTAATTCTTTGAATATTGAAATGGTTTAATGACACTACCTTGGTTATTATAGATTGTGCCTGGATCATTATATTTTGTATTGTTGACTGAACGGATTTGAGTTTCTTGCAAGACACTGTTCCAAGTAAATAAATGGATGTTTGGAATTGTTGTTTGTTTGTTTTACATGAAAGGCAACTGGAATCACATGTACTTAGTTATATTAGATAATTGAGGTAGTGCTATATCATTTTTGTTTGAAAAAATTATCAATTGGTCATTGCAGAAACTTCTCCATGGTACTTCTGCCGTGAAAAATCCTTTTGTACACCCCATATAGTCATTTAGTGTATCTGTTTCATGATATATTGTTCTTCTGCTGTGAAAAATCTTTTTGTACATCCCATAATATTCATTTTATGTATCTGTTTCATGATACATTGTTTTGTTTTACAATGGTTTCATGCTATAACATAGTTTTTTCACTGTAGGCAGACATCTTTCGTGGAGAAAAAAACATTGTTGATTTGTATTTCATGCTTCTTAGATTTTCAAGGTGAGAATGGGTGTAAAATGTCATCATTTAATGTTTGACTTACTGAAAATTTCATTTTTGCAAATAAGATATATTTAGGTAGTAGGAAATGTGGAGGTGGGTCTATTGAACTTGTTTTGATGCTTCAGCCACTTATTGGAATCTCCATGGTTTCTTATTTCCTAGTTTGATTATGGATACAATACGGTTTCTTATTTCCTAGTTTGATTATGGATACAATACCGCGCCATCGAGATTATCGGGCATCTCCACAGATAGATAAAGTTTATCTTAAAAAGGTAATGACTTAAAAATCTCTCCTGTCCAATTGTTTAGGTGTGAGACGATTTCTGACTACTGTTTTTTTTGTTTAATCTACCTGCTGCAGAAATTAATAAATGCAATATCCGAGCTTGAGGAACTGAAACCTGCTGTTCAACGGAAAGTCCAGGAGTTACTCAGTAGGAAACAACCTGGCGCTAACCAAAATAATACTTTGGAATCTTCGCTGGGAAGTCCTGTTGCCAAACAAGAAAGGTGGAATAATTGTAGCAGAACTAAGGTAGAAACTAATGCATTTAGTTAGAGTGTTACCATCTAACTGAAATTCTTTATTTTTTAGTCTTGATGAAACTTAAACTTATTGATGAAACATAAAATTATGTTGTAGTTTGTAACTAGATGCTGAAACTTCACTTAAGAATCTCGGGGCAGTGTTCTGTTATAACCTGTACATCAATTTTTCTAACTAATGAAGTTGCTTCTGATAAAGGTTTTACTGAAATTTTTTTATATTTATCATTTTGCATCTGACAGACTAGTCCACCTGTTGCTAGTGAATTTGCATATCGAGGTCTGAAGACTCAACATCTCTCTCTTGTCAAACCAATGGAAGAGCATCACCGCCGAATGTCAGTATATCCGTGTTTCTTTCATCAAGCACAAGGGATAACGTATATTTTAAAGTATTATTATAGTAGGATTTAGTATTAAAGTGTGTTTGATGCACATTAAAATGGAAAGAATGCATTTTTTTTTGGTGATGTGACGGTGAATATGTGATTGAAAAAGAAGGAAAAATTATTGATATGATGGAAAATATTATTTTATTGAAGAATGTGTGTTGAAAATGAGTAGAAGAATGATAAGGAAAATGAGAATGTGGCTTAAACAGGGCCTTAGTTTGTTCTTCACATCTCATTTTCAAAATCCTAGAATTAACAGTTTGTCCTTGAATATCGCTCGATTCACCCACCCAGCTACAGATTCTGATAAGGAGAATTCCCTGAAATTATTCATTAAAATGAATCTTAAGTTTTACATTTTGGATTCTTTATAACCAATAATGTATTGGATTCACACAATTTTCAAATGGGCTAAATAAAGTTCTAATGAACTTAACCTGATTTTGAACTTCTAACTTCCTTCTCTATCCAGCTAATTTAGTACCTCTTATACTAGAAATGTTATCCATTAATGTTTGAAGCTTTAATCTCATTTTTGGGAACTTCTACTTATTGGATCCATAATGTAGGGGATTGTTACATAAACAGGCTCTTTAAATTCTTTCCCCCTCTTATCCTTTTTATGATGTAAACAACTTGAAACTTGAGTACTGTTCAGAATAACACTTTATGCTTACACAAATAGAACACCTTGCAATTGATTAAAGTCTTTTCCTGCAATGCAAAATGTTATCTAGGTGGTCATATGCTTTTCTATTCCAAGCTTCCTTTCGAACCAGAAATTATTTCTTTTATGTGCCTCACATTTAAATTGAAGTAACTTTACGCAAATGTTGTAATACTGGGAACTTTGGAACTTCTGGGACTTTACCTAATAAATTTATGAATCTTTTTCTTACTATCATTAGCTCAGTTAATTTTTATTGTGCATGGGAACCTATACTATATATGTCTTCAGTTTTTGCTGCCTCTTCTGAATCTTTTTTCTTCTGTTCTTTGGATATGGAAAGGAAACAATGTCTATAGTAGTTCTATGTTATTGGTCATCGTACAAATATTCCTGGTGAATTTTGCTCCTGTTATCAGCAATATAATTTATGATTGGCATATGCCTCGAATCCTGATAAGAACTCCAATTATTTTTTTAGGATGAATTTATCTTTGGTAGTCCATCAGCACAGAAATTGGCCTCTGTCCATCTGTGCAAGATCATTATTTCCTGTAGCTTTGTTTACATTTAGCCAGCATCTGCAACCTTTAAGCATACAGCATACTGTTCTGGTTTTCATGATTTTATAGTAAAAGTACAATCCAATCATCAACTAGCGTGTATTGTGCTCCGATGCTCTTGCTTTTAGCTATCCCAAATCTCTTGCCTGGTTCAAAGTTGTTATGAAGTATTTGTTTTTCAACCTCCGCCCAGGTTTTTCTCATGCCACATTTATTGTACTCTTTGTGACTTGTTTTTCTTCTCTTCTCACAGTTATTTTCTCGCTTTGCTCGCGTGATTTATGGGCTTTTTTTCACCCTGTATTCTTCTAAAGCACTACAATATTTCCTAAAAATGAAACTTTACTTTAAGAAAGAGGCTGCAAGGGTGCCAAACATTCCGTTTTCTCGCTTGTTCACTGATTACACTTCCACAAACAGGCACTGGCGCTAGCTCTGTAACCAGAACTAGCACATGCNGAGGCTGCAAGGGTGCCAAACCTTCCGTTTTCTGGCTTAACGAAGCCGCACAACTCAATGCAACAAACAAATAGCTTAGCTAGAATAAAAATAGATAGATAGATGAAAGAGAAATCTAACCAAGCCCTGTATGGATGCTTGTACTCCATTCGAAAGTCTTAAGAAAGTATTCTAATGTACTCCAATTCTTCTGCCCCTTCCATGTAATACTTGACAACCTTTTATTAATATCTTAATAACATCCATGGTCTCATTTCGAATTTTCTAATCGAATCTATAACATTACTTGATTTCACTCATTAATAAAGAATTGGATTGAATATGGTACTCTCTGATTCTTCATCTGTCTTGTAGTTTCTATATTTCTTTTGTATGTTTTTCACAGATCACTGAGTATCCCTCGCCCAAAGGACGAAACTCTTGCTAGACATTCTATTTTGGGACCAAATGGGCTTCGTGGACAGTGGCAACCTCCTAGTAGTAATTATAAGGTGGTATTACAGTCTCCCTCTGTACATTTTGTAACATATATGTAGTTTTGTAACCTTATATTGTAAATGCAGGTACAATATCCAAGCAATTTAGACTTGACTCCTGTTCAAGCCCCAAGGTTAGACCTCTTATCAGAAATGTACCATTTATTACATAACAAATTTCTTAATTATCAGTTCTCCATTTAAAATCAAATGGGATTATACCTTTTGAAAGATGTGAAATTTGGTTTTCCAAAATCTCTAATTGCTTATAGGTAGAATTCATATATTTTTCCTCTTTTTTTATGGCCATGTGCTGACTAACAAATATGTTTTATGTCTGTGATTGGGATAGCTGTCTGGAGCAGCCTTTCCATAATAGTACTACGATGAGAAAGGATGATGGCAACTTGGAGCGAGAAAGATCCACTTTTGAATCTATAGTTCTGCCAGCAAAAGGAAATCAAACATTTCAGACTCAAGAACCCGATTCTCTAATTTCTTTTGAAACCGACGAAAGCCTTCCTCAAGAAGAAATTGTTACACAACCTAAACCACCTCCTGTCCTGGCAGATATACAGGATCTGATCGCGAGATCAACTCCAGCTCTGGAAACTGTTGAAAGCCTTCCTCTAGAAGAAATTATTAGACAACCTAAACCACCTCCTGTCCTAGCAGACGTACAGGATCTGGTCTCAAGATCAACTACTGAAAGAGAGTGTGGGATGGAGAAGTCTTCCAGTGATGGTTTAAATTGTTCTGAAGACCCCCTACAATTGCACATAGTACTGCTTTTACATTTTTTATTTCAGACTTTGCTTATTGTTCAGTTTAGCTTGATTTTTCTGAAAGAATCCTGTTCATCTGCTTGCTTAATTGATACTTTAAGTAGGGTTGTAGAGTTGACGAATACTCATTCTATTTATATAATTTATCTAGTCTACAGAACTGATGGACTGTTTCATGAAGCTAGCCAAGTCAAACACAGATAAAGACTTAGAAACTTGTGGCGTTCTTGCCGGTTCCCTTGTGAGTATCACTCACTTCAAATCATGTACTTGCTATTAAGTGTTATTGTAGTAATTGTCATTGTTATTTTGGTACTGTTTTTTCCAAGGAATATTCACTCTTGTTATTTATCACAGAGAAACCGAACATTTTCCATTACAGCTCTTATTATCCCAAAGCAAGAATCAACATCAAATTCAGTAAGCCTGGATGCTAGATACATGCTCATATATACCGTGTTTGCATGTTGATTGTGCTGTACTGAATTTTTCTTTTTGAGCAGTGTCAAACCACAAATGAGGAGGAAATATTTGAAGTGCAGGACAAGCAGTCTCTTTTTCCATTGGGCTGGATTCATGTGAGTATACTATGTGCTGATCTGAATGAAATTTATATTCTTTAATATGCTTCCACTGAAATTTGATATATGGAATTGAGTTAAAATCTTATATCATAGTTGTTAAATGTACAAAGTGCACAGAAATGCCAAGATCTCTTGGGGCTTAACTGCAAAGAAGAAAGTGATGTGCACCTAGTTGAAGCAAAATGTTTAATATATCTGGAATACATCCTCACACACTCACACTAGGTCCAGCAAATTCTGGTTCCAATAATTTCAGCTTAATTGTGAGCAACATTGCTGAGATTATTTTAGTAAGAGTGCGTTTGATTGCCAATATTTTCCATCTAATTTCCTATTTTTGTGTTGTTTGATTGACAATTTTTTCATGGAAAATATTTTCCTACTTTTGGTCACGTGACCATATTTTCTTTGAAAACAAGGAAAATGTTTTCTTTATGAAGATGTGGTTTTTATTTTTTAGGTAGTTCACTATGTCTCTCTCTCTCTCTCATCTATCATTTCTCTCTTATCTACCACCAATAAAAAATGGACAATATAATATTTGCTAGATTGAATATTAAATCAATCAAACACATTTAATTAAAAATTTCAATACAAATAAGTTCTGGGCAATTGAATTGTCTAGAATTTATTTTATTTCCATGCAAATTCCATCATCGCAATCAAACTCACCCTAAATGATTTTTATAGTACGATCCCCCATTTTAACAGTCAAAAATTCATTACCAACAAATATGATTATACAAAAGCAACTGTTAAGATGAAAAGACATAAGGACCCAAAAAGTTAATTGAAGAAGAGAGTAAAATATGAGATGATAAAGTGCTGTTTTTGTGCTTTTCCATTTAACGTTCTTTTAGCATTCGTGCTTTGTAGCTGCAGTCCCTGACTTTTAGCTTTAGAGGCATTATTGTGAGCCTAGGTTCTTTTTTGACTTTTTTTTGAACTGGTACTGGAAGACACCACCCAGTAGATGACTGAAAATGACGTTGATACAACCATTGATGTTACATGTCCCACCAACTAGTAAATACAAAAGGAAGATATAAAAATGTTATAATATTTACAAGTGGTACATAGAACACTCATTATTTTTCCATTCTTCTTCTTGCTTCGTAAGAGTTTCTTTTGTTCTCTCCACACCTCCCTTCAAAAGTGGCTCCCATAATTTGCATTGTGAAGGAGGGGTGTAACCCAGATCATATTGACCAAGAGCTTCAACAATTATCTTAAAAATATCATTGTTAATGGCATTAAAAGGAATTTTGGCTTCGTATATCCATCTAGCCAAAATTGATGAACTTATATTAACCTTTTCTTAGCAATTGCATCA